CTTAAGTGATCCGCCCGCCTCAGCCTCCCGAGTAACTGGGCCTACAGGTGTGAGCCGCTGCACAGGCCGCGAGGTGGCAATTTCTTCCCAAGTTTGCAGTGTATTTTTACAAATACTAATTTAATAGCCTGGAAGGTGTGTCTCCTGCCCCAGGCCGAGCCGCAGGGGGCTCCAGGCTGCGGCTGCGAGGGGAATGCAATGGAACCAAACGCTCTGAGGAGCCCCGGCTCCGCGCCTCGATCTCACCGGATTCTGGTACTCACTGTCGCCCGGACTTTTCCGCTCCTTCACCACGGCGGACACCCTGACGCGCTACCACAGCGAACGCGCGCTCCACGACAGGCCCCGCCTACTGCCCGCCCTGCGCCGGCGCAGCCCGCTCCGCCCCGCCCCCGGCGCAGCCCGCCCGTCCCGTCCCGCCCCGCCCCCGGCGCAGCCCGCCCGTCCCGCCCCGCCCCCGGCGCAGCGTCAGAGGCGGGGTAGCGCGCTGGTCTGTTTTTGGGCCACGGGATGGCGACTCTGGGAAATCGAGGTCTCATGCTGGGGCGAAAGGTGTGGCTGCAGGAGCCAAATCCAAATAAGCGGACCAGGTACTTCAGAGTTTTAACCTGAGCGAAACAGGAATGTCTTGGGTCTTAACAGGACGGTCCGCCCGCTCGGAAGAGGCGAAAAGCCCACGGCAGACGTCTGGGTGTGCGAATGTCAGTTGAGCGGGGCCTGGAGGAGGCGTCACACACAGCGAGGATTTGAGGAGGGAAGCGCCTTCCAGGCAGAACGGTTTCTGGGTTGAGAGAACCCAAAGTTCAGTAAAGTGCGTAGGGGTGAATTGGGATGAGGCGGGAGAGGGATGCAGCTGCTAAAATATAGCTTTCAATACCGTATTGAGGCGTTTGGACTTTATGGTAAACGCATTTTTAATGTAAAGAGTGATGTGAGACCGAAACGGGCGGACCACAAGGTCAGGAGTTCGAGACCAGCCTGGTCAACATGGTGAAACCCCGTCTCTACTAAATATACAAAAAATTAGTCAGGCGTGGTGGTGCGCGCCTGTAATCCCAGCTACTGGGGAGGCTGAGGCAGGAGAATCGCTTGAACCCGGGAGGCGGAGGTTGCAGTGAGCCGAGATCCGCCATTGCACTCCAGCCTGGGCACCAGGGTGAGACTACGTCTCAAAAAAAAAAAAAAAAGAGTGACGTGATGTGTATTTTAGAGAGATTAGTGCAGTGGATTAAAATGGATCAGAAAAGGCCGGAAGAAACGATAGGCTGTTAACTTCGTTTTGGCTCTAAACTTTGGTAAAGAAGTGGAGCAAGCACGATAGGGAATGGAAACCAAGAAGGATGAAAGCTGAGGCAGACCTTTGCAAAAGATCGTTTCAGTATGACTTCACAGGAGAGTTAGGGAGTATAGGTGATACCTCAGAGTTATCGCTGCCGGAGACAAGGGAGCTAGGCTTGCATACACTTACCCTGTTTTTCATGTGGCCGCTGAAGAGGATGTAAGTGTGCAGGCACGCCTAGCTCTGCACATGCAGGCAAAGCAGTTTAATAGGCTGAACAAAGGCAGTGCTCTCAAGATGACGCTTCAGTTTGGGCATTTGAAAGTGAAAGCGGGTTGAAGTTGAGTGAAGGGGCAGGTGTGTGTGCACAGAAGTGGTACAAAGTGATTGGAGGAAGTGTATCAGTCAAGGTTCTCCAAATAAATAGAACTAAAGGTTGTGTGTCTGTGTGTGGATAAAGAGGTTTATTTTAAGGAATTGTCTCATAGTTAAGGAGGCCAGCAAATCCAAAATCTGCATGGTGGACTGGCAGGCTGGAGACACAGAAGAGTCATCGCTGCCATACAAGGCTGAAGACCTAGGAAAAAGCTGACGTTGCGGTTCAAGTCTGAAAGCTGTCTGCTGCATTCCCTCTAGCTAGGGGGAGGTCAGTCTTGTTCTAGTCAGGCCTATGGAGGGCAATCAGCTTTACTCAAAAGTCCACCTATTAAATGTTAATGTCATCCAAAAACATCCTCATGGAAACATCTGGAATAATGTTTGACCACATATTTGCGTACTGTGGTTCTGCCAACTTGACGTAAAATTAACCATCACAGGAGGCATCTTGGTGGACGACTGTTGTTGTTCATCTATATATACATTTTGTTGTTTTGTTTTTATAGAAAGAAGATCAGGCTGGGCACGGTGGCTAACGCCTCTAATCCCAGCACTTTGGGAGGCCAAAGTGGGTGGCTTACTTGAGCCCAGGAGTTCGAGACCAGCCTGGGCAACATGGTGAAACCCTGTCTCTAGAAAATACACAAAAATCAGCTGGGCGTGGAGGCTGAGGTGGGAGAGGATTGCTTGAGTCCAGGAGATCAAGGCTGCAGTTAAAAAAAAAGAGCATTCAAAAGGTAGCCTTTCCCAGCTGTGATAGATAGGGTTGGCCACAGGGCCAGGGTGGTAAGATGAGCCTGGGAAAACTCTTGGGTATTAATCATGAAGGAACGTTTACCAGCATGGCTTCACACTATGACTAGGCTGTACATATCAATTTTGCTTTTTTAAAGGAGAAACTTGAGTTGTTTTTTTTTTTTTAGTAAGTAGAAGCAGGTTTTAAGATGTTATAAAGTCAGACTCTTGGCTTGCCAAATATAGGACAGTGTTTCTGTACCATTTTCTCCCGTCAACACATGACAGATTTGAAATATCCATCAACTTACTGAAACATACTGGAACCATACTTTAAAGATGTGCTTTCTGAAAAGCTTAATTTTCTCCCTTCAACACATGACAGATTTGAAATATACATCAACTTACTGTAACATACTGGAACCATACTTTAAAGATGTGCTTTCTGAAAAGCTTAATTTGTGAACTCAGATTTAGTGGCATGGATTCCCTGACTTAAATACTCATTTGATAAACATTATGCCAGGAAATGTGCTGAGGAAACAAAGGCAACCAGACCCTGCCCTTGCTCTTAGACAGTTTACGTCTGGTAGAGCAGCATAAAGACCAACTTGAGAACAGAGAATGTTAAAATGCAGATTCTCTCGTTCAGAGTCCGACTTAGTAAGTGGGGTCACGAATCTGCATTTCAGTAAGCCCCCGAGGTGATTTTGTTGCAAGTTGTCAGGTTTATATTTTGAAAAACACTGATCTGGTGGGAGAGAGAACTCAGGATTGTGTAATGAGTTCAAGATTAGGTACTCATTCCTCTGATTCTCCCTGAAATACTTGGGGTAAACAGTTCTTGGATGCAAAAGCAAGGTAATCTGAAAGCCACAATCGAGATTATCTTCCAAAGGTGGATTGGGAAGACTGAGAATGCCATGGATTAATGTAGCTTTCTGTAAACTGGGCATATATTGATTTGTGAGAGAAGGAGGTATCAGAAGATCCCAAATCTTCAATCCATTTGTTCAGCAAACATTTGTTGAGTGTCTGTGTTGTTCCAGTTGCTCTCAGGCATACCATTCTGTTTAAAGGAAAATAATCCCTTCACCTGTGTCCTAAATCCTACTACCTCCTGTTTTCCCATAGGAATTACTTTATTGGTTGTGAGCTTATTTTCTTGTATCTTCAACCTTTTCTCTGCTCATTTCAACATATAAACACCTCATTTCAACATATAAACATGTTTCAACATGTCTCCTCTGAAAAATAACATCTTCTTTGACCCCTGTATCTACACTTTCTCTGACCATATCTGCTCTGTCTTCACAACCATGTGAGGATGCTTTTGGTTGCATGTAGCAGTAATACAACTCCCACTGGCTTAAACAAAAGGAAATGTCCTGTTTTATGTGAGTGAAAAATCTTTAGGCAGAGCATGGTTCAGTATCTCAAACACTTTTGTAGGGCCCTGGTTTCCTTCTGTCCCTCTCCTCTCATTTAATCCTTACTCTCTACTTGAGGCCCACTCCCCACCCAACCTAGCAGCTCTAAATTCTTCTCTTATTGTTGCATTGACAATGTGAAGAAGATCTTTCATAGTAGCCCCCAAAGAAGAGAGAGGAAGCTTGACTTTTCAGAAGGACTCAAGACTCCTGGATAATACTGTATGTGCTGCAATGACTACCAGTGTGATCATACATCTTTGTATGATCATACATCTCCCTGTCACCATCTCCCTGTCAGTGTGATCATACATCTCCCTGTCACCACATCTTTGTGCATGTCACTCGCACACTGAGTCTGGGCTTGAACGTGTGACTGACTTTGGCCATACCTTTTTATGTGATGCAAGCAGAGATTTGAAAATTGTTGTTTGGAACCTTAGACCTCCATGTGAGAAGCATGAAGATGGAGAGACTATGTGGAGCAGAAATGAGCTGTCCTAGATAAGCGCCACCTCATTCCTATGACCAACTGGCCATCCTTAGACCTAGACCATTGGTTCTTAGCTGAACCAGTCCAAACACGAAGAACCAACTCAGCCAACTGACAGAACTGTGAGAAGTAAAAAAAAGTTTGTTGTTTTAAACTATTCCACTAAATTTTGGGATAGTTTGGTTTTGTAGCAAAAGCAAGTTTACACACTGGGTTGCTTGTCTATCCCTGACCCAATCACTATGCTAGAGGGATTGGCTCATTGGATTAAGCCAGTTAGGACTATCCTTGAAGGTGGCCTTAGAGTCAATCCCACTCAAACTGTTTGGCTAAGAACAGGGAGATTCCCTGAGGAATCTGTTTCAGGACAGGAGTTTGGTTCCTGATTGTCTCATCCTTCAGGCATGTGCAGGCCTGAGGAATACAACAGACATGGGTCTGTAGAGCACTGTCTGTTGTCATGCTCCTTGAAAGGCTGAGGAGGACATACAGGAGCTCTGATCTAAGAGCCAATCTGTCCTAAAGTCTTTCAGCTGGTGTCAGGATCTGTTATGAGAGTTCAGGAGCTTCAAAGGTCCATGAGGGATTCCAGAGGGCTTAACTGGAGACCTGCCGGATCTTTCCCTGAATTTACCTAGGAACCAGTTTCAAGAGTTCCTATGGGAGTTTTTTAGGGAAGGAGGAGATGGGAATAGGGAATGTGGGGTAGGTAGGCAAGGTTGACAAGGCCTCAACTATAGTATCTGGGGTCCAGATTTCTGCCTGAGTGTCCTTGTGTTCTGGACCTTAAACTATAAGCTCTGTCCCTGGCAGGTCTCAACTCTGAGGGAATGAGGTGATTAGGGGACTCTCCCCATAGGCTCTGTTACCTGTCATAACAACTTCATACACAAACACCATAGCTCAGCCTTGTATGCACTGGCTTCATCCTAAAAATTCAGCAGTAATCTCATGTCTTCTCAAAAGCATCTTCATCTCTCCCCAGTTAACTATTATTTTTTCTTTAGCCCCCCTACTGCATTCTTCTGTTCATGTGTCTGTCAGGCTCTATGGAAAGTAATGGGGGGTTATGTTATGCCCCTACTTCCACCTCACTTTTCCCTTCTCTTGTTTGATGTAGCAATTAGGATTGCACTAAACCCCACATGGACATTGCACTGCTGCCCCCAAATTGACCCGTCACAAGGAGCCTTTCAGTTGCTTCACTAAATATAAAGAGGCTGAATCCTATTAAAAATCAGAATGTCAGTTTGTGGCTGGGCACGGTGGCTCATGCCTGTAATCCCAACACTGGGAGGCCAAGACAGATGGATCATGAGGTCAGGAGATCGAGACCATCCTGGCTAACATGGTGAAACCTCGTCTCTACTAAATATACAAAAAATCAGCCGGGCGTGGTGGCGGGCACCTGTAGTCCCAGCTACTCAGGTGGCTGAGGCAGGAGAATGGCGTGAACCTGGGAGGCAGAGCTTGCAGTGAGCCGAGATCACACCACTGCACTCTAGCCTGGGAGACAGAGAGAGACTCTGTCTCAAAAAAAAAAAAAAAAAAATTAAAATGTCAGTTTGCATTTAAAATAATCATCTTGGCCAGGTGCATTGGCTCATGCCTGTAATCACAGCACTTTGGGAGGCCAAGGCAGACAGATCACTTGAGGCCAGGAGTTCGAGACCAGCCTGGCCAACATGGTGAAACCCCATCTCTACTGAAAATACAAAAATTAGCTGGGTGTGGTGGCACACTCCTGTAATCCCAACTACTTGGGAGGGCGAAGCATGAGAATCACTTGAACCCAGGAGGTGGAGGTTGCAGTGAGCGAAGATTGTGCCACTGCACTCCATCCTGGGCAACAGAGTGAGACTCTGCCTCAAATAAAAATAAAAATAACCTCTGTCTGTATGTGTGTGTAACATTACTTAATCATTATTTCAGCAATGCAAGGGGACTTCAATGTGAAATCATATTTAATATAATATTCAAGTTTAATATTCAGTGTTAAATAATATTAAGATAATATCAATAGGCCAGGCACGGTGGGTCATACCTGTAATCCCAGCACTTTAGGAGGCCATGGCGGGCAGATTACCTGAGATCAGAAGTTCAAGACCAGCCTGGCCAACATGGTGAAACCCCATCTCTACTAAAAACAGAAAAATTAGCCAGGCGTGGTGGTGCACGCCTGTAATCCCAGTTACTCAAGGAGGCTGAGCCAGGAGAATGGCTTGGATCCAGCAGGTGGAGGTTGCAGTGAGCTGAAATCATGCCACTGCACTCCAGCCTGGGTGACAGAGCAATACTTTGTCTCCAAAAAAGAAAAAAAGAAAAAGATATCAGTAGCTACCAAGAGAGTATCCGATATCTATCTATTCCATGGCTATTTCTACTGCAAATTTTATGTAACTAGTGTAAAAGTTAAGAATGTGGTTTATGTAAAAAATAGAAAACCTAACAAAGATTGGCTTTAAAAGCAATGGCTAAAAAACAATACTAACAATTGTCTGGGGAATAGTGGGTGGATGGAATTTTAAATAGCAGAATATTGATAATTGTTGAAGATGAGTGATGGATTCACAGGGGTTATTATACTACTTTTTTTACTTTTTTTTTTTTGAGACAGGGTCTCACTGTCACCCAGGCTGGAGCACAGTGGTACAATCTCAGCTCACTGTTAGCCTCCACCTCCTGTGCTCAGTGATCCTCCCACCTCAGCCTCCTGAGTAGCTGGGACTACAGGTGTGCGCCACCATGCTCAGCTAGTTTTTAATATTTTTTTGTTGAGAATTGGTCTCACTATATTTCCCAGGCTGGTCATGAACTCTTGGGCTTAAGTGATCCTCCCACTTTAGCCTTGCAAAGTGCTGGGATTACAGGGATGAACCACTAAATGTTTGGGATTTTCCATAATAAAAAGTTCCTTATTTATTTATTTATTTTTGAGATGGAGTCTCACTCTGTCGCCAGGCTGGAGTGCAGTGGCGCGATCTCCACTCACTGCAAGCTCCACCTCCCAGGTTCACGCCATTCTCCTGCCTCAGCCTCCCGAGTAGCTGCGATTACAGGCGTGCACCACCACGCCTGGCTGATTTTTTTTTTTTTTTTTAGTAGAGGCAGGGTTTCACCGTGTTAGCCAAGATGGTCTGGATCTCCTGACCTCGTGATCTGCCTGCCTTGGCCTCCCAAAGTGCTGGGATTACCCATTTTATAATTGGCTTATCTGGGTTTTTTACTGTTTTAGAAATGAGATCTTTCTTGGGCATGTGGTTTGCAAATATTTTGTCAGTATATATATATAATATTTTGAATTCATATATTTATATGAATTCAAATTCAAAATTATATATATTTAAAAGTATATATTTTGTTGCAAATTTTTATATTTACATATATGTATTTATATGTGTGTATATATATAAATATATAATAAACTCTTGTTTTCAAGAAAGAGATCTCTTAACTCTTTCATCTGTTATTTCTTGGGGCAGTGAGCTCAAAACCATTTTTTGTTTTTAGCAAAGGCCTGATGTTGCCTGAAGTATGGCTAGCAGCAGGGTGATAGTCAAGTATACACCGGAATTTTTAAATGATAGATCAATACAAAGGATTCTTCCTTTCTTTTTTTTTTCAACTTTCAGTTGAAAAGTACTCTTCAGAGAATATCAGAGAGCTTTCACAGGGGTGAAACGTTTTGAGTTTGGGAAAAACTTCAGCCACATTTAAGCCCTTACAGTGCATCATCAGAAAACTTGCACATTGGAGACGTCCTGTGATAATACCGTACACAGGGAATCTCAGTTCTCAGTCTACCTTCAATATACATCAGAGAACTCACATAAAGGAGGAGTCCTATGTGTATCTTGAATGTCAAAAATTCTTCTCTAGGAGGTCATCCCTTTTACATCAAATAAGTCACAAAGTTGAGAAAACCTATGAATGTAATGAATGTGGGACAATTTTCCCTGAAAATAATCTCTTACAGTTCATCAGAGAACAACTCAGAGGAGGACCCTTTGAATGTACTGAATGTGGGAAATCTTTCTGTAGGAAATCAAACCTTATACTTCAGAGAATTCACACAGGGAAGAAACCCTCTGAATGTAATGAATGTGGTAAAGCTTTCAACTAGAAATCAGGCCTTAGACTGTATCAGATAACTCACAAAGATCAGAAATCCTATAAATGTGATCAACGTGGGAAACTTTTCAGAGTTTTCAGGCGTAAAAAGCCATCAGATGAATCACACAAGGGAGAAATCCTATAAATGTGATGGAGTAGGGAAGATTTCCCCCAGAAGTAAAACCATGAAAAGAATCAGAAAACTCACAGGGATGAAACTTACAAACGTAATGCGTATGGAAAAGCTTTCAGCCACACATCAAACCTTGCACTGTATCAGAGAACTTACACATGTGAATGGGCCTGCCAGTGTCAGGGATCTTGGAGTACTTTTAGGCAGATCACAGTTCCAAGAACATCAGAGAACTCATGGGAGGAATTCTATAAAGGTGGTGAATGTAGGATAACTTTCAGCCACAAGTCAGAGCTAAGAAAAGGTTGGAGAACTCAAGACAGGGGACCAAAACCTTTTTAGCAAATGAACATGGAAGTTTCTCATTAAACATATGATAATTTTTTTTTTTTTTTTTTTGAGACAAGGTCTTGCTCTGTCTTCCAGGCTGCAGTGCAGTGATGCAATCATGGCTCACTGTAGCCTCAACCTTTGAGGCTCAAGTGATCCTCCAGCCTCACTCAGAGCAGCTGGGGTTACAGGTGCATACCACCATGCCTGGGGTAATTTTTTAAAAAATGTTTTTCTTAGAGATAGAGTCTCACTATGTTGCCCAGGTCGGTCTCAAATTCCTGGGCTCAAGGGATCCTCCTACCTCAGCTTTACAAAGTGTTGGGATTACAGGTGTAAGCCACTATGCCCAGCCAACATAAGAGAACTTTCACTGGAGGGAAAGCCTTGAAATGTATTGCATGTGGATAGTCTTGTAGCCACTAAGTATAAGTTTAGTCTGTACTGGAGTCAGATAATTTACCCAGGAAAGAAATGTTATGAAGGTAATGAATATAGACAATATCCTATATGAACTAAACCTTTATAAACTTACACTGTGGAGGAATCCTGAGAAAGAAAGGAAAAGATGAATGCTTTCTGTCCTGGATTGAACCTCACTGAGCAGAGAATTTACACAATGGAGAAAACCTAGAATGTAACAAATGTGTGACAATCTCAGCTCAAACCCACCTTTCTCAGTGCAACAGATAATGTATACAGGCTGAGTGCAGTGGCTCATGCCTGTAATCCCAGTGCTTTGGGAGGCTGAGGCGGGTGGATCACCTGAGGTCAGGAGTTCGAGACCAGCCTGGCCAACATGGTAAAATTCCGTCTCTATTAAAAATACAAAAATTAGCCAGGTGTGGTGGTGGGTGCCTGTAATCCCAGCTACTCAGGAGGCTGAGGCAGGGAGAATTGCTTGAGCCAAGAAGGCAGAGGTTGCAGTGAGCTGAGATTGTGCCACTGCATTCCAGCCTGGGTGACACAGCAAGACTCCATCTCAAAAAAAGAAGAAGAAGAAAAAAAAAAGAAAATGTATGCAGCAGTAGAGACCTCATAGTATATCAGCCAGACCAAACAAATCATATGAAGGTAATGGATGTGGGAAATCCTTCTTCCAGAATGCAACCATACAATGTGATACATAAATAAAAAGTTAATATAATTAAAAGAGACCACTATGGCACCTACTTGTGGGTTTGCATATTCTTGTGTGTTCACCAAGAAATATTTCCTTTTGTGCCTAGGCCAACAACCAGTCTACATTTCCCAACCACTCTTCCATTGATATGGGGTAGTGGAATGTGGATTTCAGTAGTAAAACAAGTCCTATGAGAGATAGCTTCATTCTGTATTTTTTTTGCTCTCCTTGTTCCTATACTAGAGATGAGAAATACCATATGGAAGGAGCCAAGGTTCAAGAATCACTGTGTGGAACAGTTTCCTTATCTTCCTTCTCTGGCAGCCTTTTTTGAGGAATAAACAAACCTGTTCTCTGCTGAGCTGTTACAGGTTTGGGTCTACTTGTTACTGACATATCCTAGACATCCCTCAGCTGATACAAGCTAAGAATATGACTTCCTTGAAAAGCGTGAAGTTGATACGTGTCTTAGTCCATTTGCATTGTTATAAAGGAATACCTGAGGCCGGGTAATTTATAAAGAAAAAAAGTTGATTTGACTCATGGTTCTGCAGGCTGTACAAGAAGCATGGCACCAGCATCTTCTTCTGGTGAGGGGCTCAGGTTGCTTCCACCCATGACAGAAGGGGAAGGGGGGTAGCAGGCATCACTTGGAAAGAGGAGGAAAGAGAGAGAGAAGGGAAGTGCCAGGCTCTTTTTGACAATCAGATCTTGTGTAACCTAATAGAGTGAGAACTCACTCATCAAGTTGATCACGAGGGATCCACCCCCATGACCCAGACACCTCCCACTAGACCCCACCTCCAACATTGGGGATCAAATCTCAACATGAGATTTGGAGGAGGCAGACACCCAGACTATACCAAAAGCCTCATGGGAGAAACCCCTGACAACATCCTGACTGATCGTGAGCTATTGCCCACAACTCTTCTTTACTAATCTGGTAAATGACAGGATTTGTCTGATGTTGCCTTGTGATTACATTTAGGTTATGTACCTTTTGTAGACATACAACAGAAGTAACAGAAGTGTTGAGATTTCTTTTCTTTTCTTTCTTTCTTTCTTTTTTTTTTTTTTTTTGAGACAGAGTCTCCCTCTGTCACCCAGGCTGGAGTGCAGTGGTGTGATCTCAGCTCACTACAACCCAGGTTCAGGCGCTTGAGCTCAGGAGTTCGAGGATGCAGTGCGCTATGATGGCGGCACTGCACTCTAGTCTGGGTGACAAAGCAAGACCTGGTATCTAAAAACATTAGAAGAAAAATCTTGAAAGGAGATATGTTCAGGCTATGCATATATTCTCTCAATCCTCAAGTCACTACTTATTATTTTTAGTGTTTACTTCTGATTGTTGCCCAAGTCAGTTATTACCACAGTCGCAAAAACCTGTTATTTTTAGTTCCATTAATCCTCACGTGTTTATCATGGTGTAGAAAATAGTTTTCTTTTTTCTAGCATTTATTTGTATTTTTATTTATGTCTGTATAGATTCAGCTTCTGTATATTCAGTGGGTTATAATGCTTAGCTAGTATGGTTGTTTGTTTTTATTCTCAAATCATCTGAGACGAAGCCTGCGGGGCATTTAAATTGTTCCTGTGTCCTTTTGTCATGTTTCTGATATCTTTTTGCTTTTACCAAACCATTCTTGTGCTTGTTTTGATAATTTTGATTTTTCCTTACAATGTTTAGAATTCTAAGCCCCTCTTAAGAAATCCTTTAAGATTCTGATTAGAATTTCATTTAATTTTGTCTCAATCAGGTGCCCATAGGTATAACCAATTCAATGCACTGGCCTAGATTCCTTCCTAGGCCAGAGAAGTTGTGGAAACCCAGACACAGTCTAGCCATATGAGGCTCAGGCCTTTCCTACTTTCCCTCTCTGCTGACCAATGTCCAGAGAATACTCCCCACGCAGTACCACATCACCCACTAGAGAATGTTTTCTGGCCCTAAATGTTAATGCTCCTTTTTTCCCCCCTCTCTGCTTTATAGATCTTTTTTACCTGTGTCTAAACTTTTGTTCTGACAAATGGCAGGATCACCTGGAGACCCTGGAGGAATTAGATTTCCTGCTCACCTCCTTCTTTAGGCTCCTTAGGTCACTACAGGCACATAGGAAGCCTGTTTCCGCAGGGTTTCCACACTGCCGCATGCGGTGAGTCCGTGGATGAGGAGCATTTTCATGCTTCAGCACTCACCCAGCACACCTTTTCCTTTCCTGTCTGTTGTTTGAAAGAAGAATAGTGTATCGCAACTGCCTGTCTAGTTGACTAAGTGAATAAGTGTCCAACTATTATCAACCATCTGTGACGTGACAGAGTGACAGACAACCCAGGTATGTAACCACATGAATGGAGGGAACTTAGGGAGTGTTGCCAGGATAAATAGCTGCTTGCTTCTTTATCAGTTTAGGCTCCTCTGCATTGTAGAGCCTTGCTCTGTCCTGTTGAGCACAGTTTTTAGTGTCAGGTAGCTAGGCAGTAAACATTCAGAACCACCTGCAGCCCACTGCTAACTTGAGTCCCATAAATGAGCTACAGGGAGTTCATTAGCTGCCTGAGATACGTTCAAATTTATGGCTGTAGGTGGGTGTGCACATATTTCTGGCATGAAGATTCATGGCTTTTGTCACATTTTCAAAATGACTGCTACTCTAATGATGCAAAATTGTCAAGAACTTTTGCTCGGGAGAGACTCCTAGGAGGCTCATGAATAACTTTCTGTTATATGTGCATGTTTCTGGGAAGATAGTGTATAGCTGCTTTCAAAATTTATAAATATTTAATAACTTAGTTACCTATTACCTGTAATTTTTTTATATGGTTTGGCTGTGTCCCTACCCATATCTCATCTTGAATTATAGTTCCCATAATCCCCATGTGTGGTGAGAGGGATCCGGTGGGTGATGATTGAGTCATGGGGGTGGTTTCCTCCATGCTATTCTTGTAATAATAAGTTCTCACAAGCTCTGATGGTTTTATTGTTTTTTAAATTTTTTAATCTATTTTTTGAGACAGAGTCTCGCTCCGTCACCCAGGCTGGAGTGCAGTGGCATGATCTCAGCTCACTGCAGCCTCTGCCTCCTGGGTTCAAGCGATTCTCCTGCCTCAGCCTCCTGAGTAGCTGGGACTACAGGGTTGTGCCACCATGCCCGGCTCATTTTTGTATTTTTAGTAGAGACAGGGTTTCACCATGTTGGCCAGGCTGGTCTCAAACTCCCGACCTGAAGTGATCCTCCCACCTTGGCCTCCCAGAGTGCTGGGATTACAGGCGTGAGCCACCATGCCCGGCCAAGATCTGATGGTTTTATAAGGGGGTTTCCCTTTTCGCTCAGTCCTTATTCTTCTCCTTCCTGCCACCATGTAAAGAAGGATGTGTTTGGTTCCTCTTCCACCATGATTGTAAGTTTCCTGAGACCTTCCCTGCAAAACTGTGAGTCAATTAAGCTTCTTTCCTTTATAAATTACCTAGTCTCAGGCATGTCTTTATTAGCAGCATGAGAATGGACTACTACAATTTTCATCTGCTGCTCAGAAGTGACCTCCAAGAAACTTACATTTATTATGTTCAACCCCCATGTTCCATTTCACAGCCCCTCCCATGTGTGATATTGCCATCTCAGGGGTCAGAGTGCTATGCAACAAGTTGAGAGTGTCTGGCTGACTCCTGAGCAGCACCTAGAGACCTATTCTTCGCTATGGACTCAGATTCCAATGACTGCTCTCAGTGCCTGTGAAGAACAAGGCTTGATCAAAGTCTTCCAGAGACTGGCCCAGGGCAGTCTACCAGCTCTGTTCTTGCTGGTGGCCTTCCTTACCACAGGATGATAGTTTCAGGGCAGAAAGTCTTCACTCTCAAGTAGGGTATGAGGGTCTTGATATAGCACCATCCTGTGTGGCTAGGGAAAGCGAACCATTGAGAATGATCTGTGAGAAAATCACTTAGGTAGGTATTGGTCTATGACTT